CTACCCACATGCCCCATAGTAGTTCCTTTTTGGCGGTTACCTTATAGGGTTCTATATATGAACCCCAAACAGAACTACTTTAGGGCCCATGGGTAGTCTAGATCTCTGGACCCGAAATCAAATATGGACCCCCGATTCATTGAAGAACCTCAAGAAAGAGGAGTGAGCCACCAGAGGTCAACGCTAGACCTGTGGACCCCGCCACAATGTAGACAGACCCCAGATGACGTAAAAGCCCCTGAAGGAGGATTATCAACACTCGCACTCGAAACAAAACCAAAGGAGGTTAAACATTATGTCCGAAGCCCCAAACCCGCGAACCTAGACCCTAAACCCTGGAACCTAAACCCTAAACTAAACTCTAAGCCCTGAAGCCTAGAATGGTACACGTTCGAAGTAGGGCTTCGCGCGCCAGAGTCGTGGCAATTAGAACGAGTTCTCATCTGCTTGCCGGGCCCGAGGGTCCAAGTGCCTGGTTTAGGGTTTCAAGGCTTAGGGTTCAGGGTTCAGGGTTTAAGGGCTTAGGGCTTTGGGTTTAGGATTTAGGGTTTAGGGTTTAGGATTAGGGTTTAGGATTTAGGGTTTGGGGTTTAAGGGCTTTGGGCTTTGGGGTTGAGTACGGGTCTGGGGATGAGGGAGGGTGTGGGGCTCAGGGGTTTAAGCTTTGCTTGTTTAGGCTTTAGGGTTTTAGGGTTCAGGAATGTTTGGGGCTGAGCCTTGTAGTATTTCTAGGAGCCTGAACTACTACAAGCATTTTCCGTCATGCTTCCATGTAATACCGACAAAAACTAAACCCTAAATCCTAAACCCTAAACCCCAAACCCCTAAACCCCTAAACCCTAAACCCTAAACCCTAAACCCCTAAACCCTAAACCCTAAACCCTAAACCCTTATTCTAACCCTGGAGGATCCAAGTTTAGGGTTTCGGGCTTTAGGCTTTAGGGTTATAGAGTGCAGTGTTGCAGGACTTTAGGGTTTGGGGTGTAGAGTTCAAGGCTTCGGGGTGTACTTTAGGGTTTTGGGGTGTAGAGTTCAAGGCTTCGGGGTGTAGAGCTTCAGGCCTGTTAGGGCTTCGGGTGTTGGATCTTAGGGTTTAGGTTGTGGGGTTTAGGACTGCAGGGTTCGATTAGGCTTTTGGGGTTCGCGGGATTAAACGATTGGTTGGTATCTATGTGGGAGTTTCCGAAAATACGGGAGGTATCTTATTTTGGGGGGTCCTTATAATAAGGATCCTACTAGTTGGGGTACTATATTAGGGTCCCCTATGTTCGGAAAACCCCATGTGAGTCTACGATGATGAGCTGCCTTGGACTCTTGAGGCGGATGGCTGGCAAATTTGGAACTTCTCGATGTAAGAGGCCAAGGCACATTAAACCTACTACGAGTTTCGCAATCGGCTTTTGGGGTGTCAGGTTTAGTGTTTAGGGTCTCATCACGAGGAACAGGACCACGAAGAAGCAGTGTTCCGATACTGCGACCAGTGTACCCCACGGCAATCGACATGGCATCAGCCGCTTTAGCGGATGATGCGAAACCCAAACCCTACACCTTCAGCTAGTTGCCGTCCTTTGTCATATGGGGGTTTCCGAAAGAGGGGGCCCTAATATAGAACCCTCATAGAACCCTTACAGCCCTGATTGAGGATCCCGCGTCGAGACCTAGAGACCTGAAAGGAACCGTCATAGAGCCCTTAAAGCCTTAAAGTGCCTTAGAACCCTTAGAGGGAAGAGACAACCCTGAATAGTAGTCTGGGGTTGTCGGGGCGTCGCATCACCAAGCCGGAGAGCGACTGGGGGATTTTAGGGATGAGGGTTCGGGGTTTCAGGTTTTGGGGTTTGGATTCAATTGAGGGTCAAATTAGGTTCGGGGTTTCATGGTTTTGGGTGAGGTTGAAATTAGGGTATTCATTGGGAGGCATGGTTCATGCTTGGTGGTGCGGTTTAACAAACCCGAGAGACTGTTTGACATGATCATGTTGTTGTTGTGCGTCTATAGGCGCCTTGTACGGAAAGCTGCGGTTTGGGGGTGTACCTTAAGAAACCAAAACCCACCTAAACCCTAAACCCTAAACCCTAAACCCTAAACCAAAAGGTTCTTATTATAAACCCTAATCCGGGATTTATGGGGACCCGTCGGTTTGGGGTTCTTAAGGCAAACCCTAATCCCTAATCCCTAATCCCTAAACCTGAAGAGCAAAGAACAGGGTGCACCGTTTAGGGCTCCGGCTTTGGGAAAGCTGCGGTTTGAGCCCTACAAAAAAGTAGGTTTTGGGTTCTTAAACCCTAAACCCTAAACCCTAAACGTCCTAAACCCTAAGCCCTAAACCCTAAACCCTAAACTTCCTAAACCCTAAGCCCTAAACCGTATAGCGTTTACATAGGCTGCGGGGGCTCAGGGCCCAAGTGTTTGGTGTTTCGGCCGAGGCTCTGGGTTGTCCCAGATTCTGGGGTTCAGTAGGGTTTAGGGTTTAGGGTTTAGGGGTTTAGGGTTTAGGGTTTAGGGTTTAGGGTTTAGGGGTTTAGGGTTTAGGGTAGCGTTTTGGGATTCCGAGTGCGTTGTGTGTCGTGTTTGAGATTTCGGGACTGCTGGACTAGACTGGTCCATGCATCTGGATGGTGGGCAGTATGTTGCAATGTTCGACTGAGTCTGTGTTTGACGGCCGTCCTACTATAGAGGTCGAAAACCTGGCATTTATATTTCTATAGCAATATGCCCTTGTCATCCCTTTGAGTGTTTGATTTCCGTGCCCTCCCACAACCCTGTTCCAATTGTCAAAGCGCCATTATTACTGACAAGATGGAAATGTCCGAAAATGATTGAAAGACACCGAAGCAGTCGCTGAATGCTAGGATCCAAAGTAGCCCCAAGCCTATAAACCCAAAGCCCCTAGACCCCTAAACCCTAACCCCAAACCCTAAACCCCAAACCCTAAACCCCAAACCCTAAATCCCAAACCCTGAACCCTCAGCTTTTAGTCCTTGGCCCTGACAGCGACCTGCAAGCCCGCCGACGGCCTTACGTGGCTGGGGAGGTCTTCTAGACAAAGGAGGCGGAGTTTCCGAAAACAAGGGGTACCTTATTTGGGGTCTGTACAATAAGGGTCTTACGATTTAGAATTGTAATAAGGATCCTATTATTTAGGGTTTAGAGTTTAAGGTTTATGGTGCATATTAGGGTCCCCTAGTTCCGGAAACCCCCGCACAAGGGAATCCCCTAGACCCTAAACCCTAAA